GATACTGGTTCTCCACGATGTGGATCAACTGAGGAGGAACACGGGTGTGTCGAACATTTACAATGTTTTCAAACATGCCTAAATAAACAGTGATATGCTGCTTTGAAGCCTGCAAACTGCATAGCTCCAGAAAGAATATTAAGATGAAATTCTTAAAAATTTGATGCTAGCGAATTCGCTTGATCTCAGCTTGAGAAGTTTTAGTAAACTTAACAAGGCCTCACATTTGGATCTGAGGAAGGGATGAAGGGCTATCCAGATAATACAAAACATAATTGCAATTCTTTGATTGCACTTCAACCTCCTCAATCCATTTTATCATTCTTCTTTCTCAACTTTTTATACTTTTATAGACTTCCGGGAGTATCATAGTAAAACGAATGCAGTTCGAAATTTCCTCTTCATCAAAACAAGTTGGAATCTCGCCAAATAGTAGCTCGAAAATTTTTTAAATAAATTCGAAAACTGTATTTTCATGTCTAAGAATTGTTTATAGAAAATCTACTGCGTTCCACTTAATCCAGACACGAAAAAATTTTTGACGAAGTTATGAAGGATTTTTCCGTCAAGTATAACAAAACTTGTGCAACAACTTAATGACTTTTACAACGTTTGCAATATAAATGATATGATATGGATCGATAGTTCAAAAACGACCACATCTGATGAAATCAAACCCTGTAGAAGTTAGAAGCCTAACGTTGACCATAGAAAGTCTGCTCTTAGAATTTTAGCGCCACTTTTGCTCTATAACATTGTATAACATTACCAAAATGACCTCTTGAACATGCATCTGTCGTATCCCCAATCATATCTGATTCTTTAATCTCTAATTGAATAGTAGTAAATACGCTGTTCAGCTCGACATCCACATCAGAAGCTCCAGCAAGCTCTGTCTTCCCACACTTCCTCTTCCCCGGCACCGCTTTTCCATCCCCTTCAACACTCTCCGACGTCCCATCGCCGATGATCATGCAGAACTCTATCGATATCTCTCCAGCACAACTTCAGGTTCGCTTGATTTCGTCTCAGATTACATGCGATAGTACGCATAGCAGCGCATCAGATACTCTCGCTGCTAATAATGAGCCGTGTCGGTCTCTGATTAAGCTACGGGATTCGTGCGGGAGTGATGAAACCCGATCCGTCGATTAGTTATCCAACGCTCATTAACAACTTTATGAGGCTGAGCTCAGTATCAGTCAAGCCTTGAGAGCTCTCTATGAAATAACAGATGATCGTATTTGCAGCAAGCCTACCTCTCGTTCCTCGTGGGGCAACAACTGAACTCGGCCGCCGCCGCAGCGGCGGTATCGAATCCACTTCGTATGCTGGCTCAAGACCAAGGTTGGTTCAAAGCGCTTGTTCAAGGGCTTCCCAGACGGAAATAAATGGAAGTAGTCTGGCTGAGTGTAAGCTAGCAGATGAGGATTATCGCTATGCTGAGCGGATGCTGACAGGGTGATGAAACTGAATTGAATAAGAATACGCAGGAAAGCAGTTTTTTTGGAATTAGATGAGGGGGATGGTATGATCTTAATAGTCGAGTACAGTTATCTGGAATGATCTACGACTACGGTCCGAAGCAGAGAGAGCGG